GAAGATTGCTCCAAGACTGAAGGCGTCACAAACTTAAACTGCACAAACTCCCGCACAAGTCAAAGGCTCAAAGATATTAAAAGGAGGGTTTCTTTATCGTTTGGTAACCGCTCAGAGAGATTCCTTCGCTAAGCGTTTCTCTCGTTGACGAAGTCTCTTTTCTCGCTCCCACTCCTTCATTCGCAGCACTGAATCCTCAAAGACGCACTCGCCGTACGTGTGACGTTCATGGCGACATCGCCAGTAGAATGGTCGGTTGTTCTTGAGACAAGCCCGGTAGTCGATCCACTTGTGGGCGCAGTAGTCACGAAACGGCGGCGTTAACTTCGCCGAGTCCATCTCCGCTTGGGTGGCAATCATCACTGCAAAAAAGACGGAATCGGGTTAGCAAACTGACAACAGATAACCTGCCACGTAATTACTCCTAACACTGACAGGTGCATCAGCTTACCTCGCTCTTTACGGCCTTGAGGAAAGCCTTCCATAGGGTCAAAGGGCGATTCTTCGCGATCTGATGGCCACTCGGACCGGTCCTTTCTCAGGTAGGGAAAGGTGTACTTCTCCAGGCTGATGTGGTCCTTTGTCAGGCCAAAGGGAAGCTGAACGTTGCCCATCTTGAAAGGAGGTTAGTGCAAACTGGTGTCAGTAATCAGTAAGGGGGCGGCTGGTCAAGGAGAGAGGTCGGTGAACCAGAAAACCAGAACCAGGCTCCCTGGAAGAAAACAGCCGTGCCGATTGTTGTGTTTCCAAAGTGGCACTGGCAAAGTCACTGGCACGGTGCAGTGGAAATAGACGCCAGATCGGGATCGAGTTGACGATTTGGTGCTTCTTAGGATTTCTATTTGAAGATTGAAGTTAGGCGGTAAACTGGCCAGGCAGTACACTTCTCAATTCTACCGTCGACCACCCGGACGCCCTTGCCCGGTCCGGTTTCGCCTCAAAATCATCGTTCCACCATCGGCGACGCAGCATCCATTCCCACTGAACATCATCTCTGAGAGACCCGCTTAATTGCACACTCAATTGTTGTGTTGTTCACGACGCAATCTCTTCGCCTTCTTCGGCCGATTCTCCCCTTTCTCGGGCACTTCACCGCCTCCTTTTGCAGCTGGAACCTCCTGCACTTCCGTTTCCGGCGCAGCCACGGTTGCCCCAGCTAGTCTCAGTGGATCATTTCTTGGCCTACTCATACTACCTGCACCGTTCGGATTAGTGCACCCCTCTGTCAGCCTGCTGGGAGTCATCAAATACCCTAGAGAGCAACAGCGATGGCCAGCCCTGGGATTTCTCGCTCTGGCCGTGTACTGAAGAAGAGCGTCAAGCTGATGGACCTGGACAATGAGGCCCCTGTAAAGCAAACACCGCCACTTCGGATGAGCATTCCAAAGTTGACCGTGCCAAAGACAGTTGTCCTTGCATCATCACCTTCCTCCTCCTCAATCGAAACAACACCCAACACCAATAACTTTCATCCAATTGGAGATCATTTGAGTGGTGCTGCCACTGACAACAAAGTGTCCCCCACTCTCAACAGTCAGCCAAAGATCATCCTTCTTCCTCAGTCCTCACTCGTGTCACCTAAAACACCCGCAAACAGCAGTGGCGGCAACAACTTGAAGTTTAAGCTTAATCTTTCAGGCGAAAGTATCAAACTGAACCCAAAGCCAACCGAGTCTGTAGCATCAAAGCCATCTATCACTCCACTTAAAATGACCATCAACTCTTCTATGACCGGTAATGCGGGCAGTAGCGGCAAGCTCACAACGCCGATCAAAATCATCTCTAGCGAGACTAACAGTCAAAAGAACACTATCGTTCTAAAGCTAAAAACCGATGGCTCTGAAACAAAGTTTATCACTCCTGTTTCCAGCGCTCAAAAACGTCCTCTAGAATCACCGACGCCACCAGAAACGTCTAAAATGATCAAAATTGAGGCCGCCAAACCGATACAAATAAATAAGCC